CCAGCAGGCAATGGGAGTCCTTGTTCCCCCAAGCACTACTGGGAGTAAGAAGGAACAGAGGCCATAAGTTGACGGAGAGTAGATTCAGGCTAGATATCAGGAAGCACTACTTCACAGTCAGGGTGGCTAGGATCTGAAACCAACTTCAGAGGGAAGTGGTACTTGCTCCTACCCTGGGAGGTCTTTAAAAGGAGGCTAGACAGACACCTTGCTGGGGTCGTTTGACCCCAGCATTCTTTCCTGCCCATGACAGGAGGTTGGATTTGATGATCTGCTCAGGCCCCTTCCGACCCTACCAACTATGAAACTATGGACAGGCTGGACACCTAGCAGTTGAAGATGAAGCTGTTGCTATTGTAGAAATGATTCTGTGGTTTTAGTAACTAAAACTTTGTGAGGAAGTTTTGAAATAGGAAACAGGCCAATCAAAAGCAAAGATGGACAAATGCTTATAACAGGCTGAACAGACTGATAAGGCAAATCATTTCACAGCGATTCTCAACATGTCCAACCTGACCTCAACATTCTACTCTACTCGTGAGCCAGAACAGCTGACACTAACACTGTACAAAGATGCCCAAAGTGAATGCTGTGATCAAGAAGCAGAAAAACAAAGTGGCAGAGTACTGTCAAATCACAACAGAAATGCTAAAAGCACTTGACCACTGTCCTGACAAAACACAGAACTATACACTGGAATCCAGGAAAAAAATCCCAAAGCATCTTCTGACATTGAATCACTGTCAGAATACCTTGAAAACCTCAATGACCGCAAACTATAGGTAAAGAATTAAATTCTCTCTGTGTTAAGGAAAGTTCTTCAAATGAAAAAGTTTGAAAGGTAGTAGATGAAAAATTCAGAGGTTGGATTCAGATGCAAGAAATCTTCCGTAGACTAGATGTGTTAAATGGAAGACAACATAAAATAGCAAGCCCTCTCACTCAATTTAATTAGCATTCAAAAGGCAACTGACAGGATGCACACATATTGCAGAACATCTTTCAGTTCTATGGCATTTGGGCTAAAGTCATTAATATCATAATGGCAATGTACAGAAAATGCGTTATGCTCCAAGGGTGAAAAATCAGAAGACAGAGCTGTTAAATGGACTACATTATGAAATAGGGCTGCATTGTTTTGTAGTTGCTATTTGATGCTATTACAGACTGGAAGATTAAGTGAATATGCAATGCAAAATATTAGCATTGCAAGGGTAGATGACAAACACTTAAAAGATTTAGGCCATAGGTTCCCCACCTTTACAGATTCAGGGGCAAAAATACTGAATAAGCTATGCTCTGCAGGCATCATGTTTTGCTCACCCTATCTTAGTTTCAACATTTTGATTTCCTGTGGTTGTGGGCAACAGCAGGTTTTATAGGCAATGTGTTGCCTGATCCTCAACCAGAGCCCAAAGTCAATTATACCTAAACATGCATTCTTGAAAACCAGAAATCAAATGGTAATATCACAGTAGATGACAAAAAGTACAAATAATTTATGCAATAGCTTCATATTAGCCAATGAAAACTAAGAAAGAAACAGCATCATGGCTGAGGAAGGCAGCTGAACAATATTAACTGTACAGTTATCAAATATATTCCAGCACAAGAAATACAATGGAGAATTTTCAAGTCGGATGTAATCTTAATATTAACATATTGCTGGGAGAGCTGAAGATGTACCAAAACATTAGAAAAGAAACTAGATTCTTCCAAAAATAAGAAAATATGAAATATCCTGGGGTTTGGAAGGAAAGATTTAATTGTTAAGGAGACCAACCAGCAGCTTGCCTTCACCCAATGAAGCAATGGATGCATTTGGAACTCAAACTTCAGATGTCAACATACGGAAACAAACTGGTCAAACAGAAACCAGCTGGTATAAACAAAAGACAGCATCCAAGGTAATCCTTATGAAGCACCTTTAACGGAGAGAAGAGTCAATTTTACCATCACAGGGGAGATAAAAGCAGAAAAAAAGCAGCAGAGGAATAGAACTTTCTGTCATATTTGTCAATGTTGGTGCATTGAAGAACATAACATAATATAAAAACTTGGGCAGGAATATAGATTTTTTTTTTTTGCTGCTAAGTGTCTGACAGTCCAAAAGAGCCAAGAAAAGAGAAAGTCAAAGCACTCAGAAGTAAACTCCAAAAGGTTACAATCAATAAGCTTACAAGGACCAAATTGGACTAAAAAATAAAACTGGAAAGGTTATCATTTAGTCTATCCCTCGCCTTGAGGCAGAATAAATACACCCAAGACCAACCTTGAAAAATGTTTGTCTAACCTGTTCTTATAAACCTACAACAAATAAGACTCCACAATGTACCTATATAACCTGTTTTGGGGCTTAATTATTTTTAGAGTTAGAAAGTTTGCCTTAACAGATAATCTAAACCTTTACTGCAAATCTTTGAAGGTCAATTTCTTCTTGTCCCACACAAAATGAAAATGAACAACTGATCAAGTGCTCCACATACCCAAAGATTTATGTTTGCCCTTAATCTTATCTCTTCTACAGTAAACAAATTCAATTTATGTAACCTTTCCTGGTATGTCCTATTGCTAAACTTCTTACTGTACCTTGGCCTCTCTTCAATTGTCCTACATTCTCTGGAACTAGGGTGACCAAAACTGATCAAAGTATTCCAGCTGAAGTCTCACCAACATCAAGAACAGAACATTTGTCTCCCATGTGTTATGTATAATAGACCTATAAATGCATCTCAGAATGATATTTTTAAATAAAATAAATTTTAAATTAAATAAAAGGTAACATCTCTGAATCAAGAGTTTTAGAGTTCTGCATTTCTTTTTGTCTCAGACCAAACATGGCTACCAAATACATCCCTGAAACATAGAAGTTGCCAAATTTTAGCCAATTTTGCAATTATAAACTTCGTAGCTAAACATCAAAGAAAGATTTCTACACCTCCCTGCCTTTATGCCATCTGACACCATCCCAGAAGAAATCCTGCCTTATGTGCACAGAGAGCAAGTCACACAAAGGAATTCTCATGGACACAGAAGAACAGACATCTACCTTCAGTTTCCTCTGTGCAAAATGAAGTTTATTTTCTACCTATAGGGACTTTTACCATCTTTAATTTTCCCTCAGCCTGAAGAAGAGTGCATGTGCCTAAAAGCTTGCAAAGAAAGATATATATATATTTTGTGATTTCTTAGTTGGTCTAATAAAAGGTATCATCTTTGAACCAAGAGTTTTAGTTCTGCATTTCTCAGAATGATGTTTGTTTTTCTGCAGCAGCATCTCATAGGTGACTCTCAGACTTCATGATCCTTATGGTCTCCAGATCCTTTCTGCAGTAATGCCAGAGCCAGTTATTTTCCCTGATTTGTGTATAAAGGGAAAAACCTGTCAGACAGTAGTATTGCAGAAGAGGATCTGGCATAACCCAAGCAGCCTTTCCAGAAAGAGATGCAAAAAGGAAGGAGATATATGCTTCAAAAGTGAACTAGTGAGGTAGTAATTTATGAAACGTCATGGGGGCTAGGCACCTTAGGGACTTATCCCTAAAGATTACAGTGTGGATATCTTTCTTTTCCTAGATTAATTTTTCTAGAGCATAGGCCTTACCCAAATTATCAGGACTAGATGCCGAAAAAAAGTGAAGTTCGGCATTACCAGGCTTGATGAAGTTTGGGACAGACATTGTATAAGCCAGTTTGAGCCAAATCAGTAAAGTCTGATACTACATTCAACCAGGTTTGGTTGAAACTGGTTTATGTGCACTGAACATCTGTTCTGTTACAGGCTTAAACCAGTTTCTGATCACTTAAACTGGTTTATGTGTAATGTCTGTCCCTAGCCATCAAGATACACAGAGATCTCTCGTCTACCTATTGATTATAGGTAAGTATATACAACAACATGACCCTGCCTTGTGCTGCGTCTAAAAATATCTTCTGAAATATTTTAGGAAGTAACAGAGACACACTTGAGTGATATGGTCTAGGTCATCCAGGGAGCATAAAGATAAAACTAATGCTCCTGACAGACCTAATGAACTTAAATATTTATGCAATTACTTGAGTACTATTGTGAGATGGGGCAAATAAACTAGAAAAAGTCAGTCTTGTGCTAGAATGGGTCCAACAAAGAATAGATGAGCTATATCCAAACAGATTCAGTCTGATGGAACCAATGAAACTCTAATGCATTAAACATATTCCTCCACATTTTGGAGGAAGAATTAGAATAATGGATATAGAACTCCACTAAAAATCTAAAATTATAAAAGTAGAGAAACTGGATGTAGGCTTCATTTTTTTTATTACTTTTGCCTGGTGTTTTAGTTTTCTTTGCACCATTTTGCAAACCTATATCGGTAAATCAACTAGTGATAAATGGGAACAAGTCACCAAGACAGCAAGTGTCTGGTCCGTGTTCAGTCTGAGCTGGAATCAAGAGCAGAATTAGGATCCACGTCACTGATTGCTAAGTCTATATATAACCCAGTGGACCACAGTGATTCTCTCTCCCTCAGGTTGAAATTCCACCACTAAGAAACTCTGGGATTGTACTACCTGTAAAGAAATAGCAATTTCAAGACATAGCTGGTATTTAAACATGTGTGCATAATGGATATCATAATGTTTTAAAGGAGTAGTTCCAGATTTGTCAAACTTTTTCTTTATCAGATTATGTTGGAGCCTTGCAATTACTTGAATGCATTTGTAATCTTACCCCCACCCTTCCTACCAACATGCAAAAAATGCTTTTTTGAGACAACATTATTTTAATTTACAAGAATGTTTGTAAATTCTATTATCTGAAGCACATATTCAACTACAAGTAAATGAATATTGACAATGAAGACTACTTGCTGAAAGAGGAGTGAAATGATGTTTTAATAGTGAATTCCCCCCTTCACTATATATTTTTGTGTTTTGGCTTTAATTACATTTTTCAGTAGACATGTAATGATAGGCCTATTTATATAATTAGAGAGGCAGAAGTTATTAATGTGTACCTGTAATCTTGCTTCAAGAGCCTGTATAGTAAGAGAACCATTCTCTTGTAGTTCTGCTGTAACAGGAACATCTTCTTTATAACTGATTCCACTCTTAAAAAAACAAAACAAAACAAAACAAAACATTAATTTAGCAGCAGAAGGAAGGTGAAGAGCTTATTGACATGAAGTTATAGAAAAGTCCAGAATAAGAAATTAGAAAGCCACAACTTGCAATTAAAGTAAATCTTACCTACTGAAGACAATTCAAAATTGATAATAGATACTAGAAAAACCATTTATTGAGAGGTTAATTAACAAATACCAGAATCTTAGTTCTGTTTGACCGACCCCCCCAGTACCCTAGCAAGTGTCATTACAACATGAAACACCTTCAGCAGCATTACTTTAATTTCCCCAAAGATCTTCTGATGTTATCAACTTAGTAAAGTTACTTCAACATATTCTTGCTCATCATAATTACATTATTAAAAGCAAGTAGCATTGCATTATGTAAAGAATATTTCTAGGCACACATTCCATTTTGGTTTACATACACAATTCTAATGGTTTGAGAGGGTTTTTTTCCTTTAAGTTTCATTGATGTGTTTAAATAACAGACAAATTGAACTTACTGAATAGTTGATTACTCCAAAATCTGTTATCCTGAAAAAGCTTAAAATATCTGCATTGGTTCTATCCCCAAAAACCAGCAAAATTTGTTCAGTTCCAGTTCCCATAAAATCATCTACCAGAACAGACTTTACTTTCTCCCATTTGGCAGCAACCTGAGGTAAAAAAAACAAGTTAAAAGGTACACCATTTTCTAAGACATCTGTATTTGAGGCATGAGTTTGTTTCAATTTGTTTGTTTTTCTCAAAGAATCACAAGAGAGCACATATTATTTTGCACAAAGCAGCACTGTAGTCTGGTGACTAGAGGGCAATACTATGAAGCAGAAGTGCCAAATTGCAACCCTTGTTCTGTTACGGAATGTGTCCCTGTTTTCCCCACATATAACATGCATAATGTTTTAAAAAGAGAAGTCCATCTCCTAGATAACAGGTTTTTTTGAATGACACTGCAATTTTTCAATGTTTAGTATTTGGAATTTTTCACAGTTCTACTGAAAGTTCAAATTACATTGACCAAGGCCAAAGGGGAATTTTAATATTATTTCTGTTAAATATAGAAAGCTGAAGTAGTAAACTATGAGTTTCCAGACAAAAATGTGCAGAGCTTACTAACATCACATCAAAAAATACTAATAGTTTATGTGGTCTTTTCTTTGAGTTTAGGCATACTGAACCAAAACAAAAAAAGTTGTCTAGGTCTTTCCAATTAAGTGTTTGTTCTGGCTAGTGAGTGAAATAGGCCAAGTGAATATGCTACAAGCAGGGAGTTTAAACTGATGTCAGCCAAAAAATGTATACAAGGTCCCTAAAACAGATTTAGCAATTGTATTAGTAATATTGTTTTACATTTACAATTCTAAAGAACCAAAATAGCAACAGAAATATTAGCCCTTGTTCACAATTTTTTTAAATTAAAGAACAAACTATTTTCAGACAAAATCAGAAGAATGTTAGCAAAAAATATTTAAGTATTATATTTTTCATTTGAATAGAGTAGGAGAGTAAGAAGTTATAGAGGGTTAACACACTAGCTTTTTATGTTTGGAAACTTCAGTGACAAGAAAAATATAGGTGGAAACAGGACTTCAGTATTACTAATAACAATAGCATTTTTTTTAACACAATTGGTACCTGAAAGCTGTCTTTCCACACAGCACACACATCTCCAGAAGCAAAAGACACAATAAAGAATAAGTTGTTTCCACTTGTTGTGGCAATTTGTATTAAGTAGGGTTCCTCATATGGAAGCTGACAGACATCTTTAGGAAGTCCATCTTGGAACCAAATCAGCTGGTTCTTGTGGGTGACAGCAACAACTGATGTAATAAATTGGCTTTTCAAGACCTTAAACTTGCAGACATGTACACAAGATACCACAGTGCTGTAAGCATGGGGCAGAAAGCAGGTGTCACTTAATATTTTCTGATTTTCAAGAGAATATCCAAAGAATTTGCTACCCCATGTGGCTTCATCTGAGCTGCAAAGCTTTTGCCAATCTCCTCCCTCTGGCGAACAAACAGTTCTCACTCCCAATACAATGATGCCTTCATTCTCAATATCACCTGCCCACTGAATGGAAGAAAGATGAATGGGAGCACTAAGTACTGTACAAGTTGTGGGAGAGATATAGAAGAGTTTTTGTGCATGCCTCCATAACACTGATGGGCCAGTAAATAACCTGATATCTTCTTTAAGATCATAGTCCAATTTAAAATTTAAGCATGGTTCAAATTCATTGGAGTTGTGAAGCAACAATAAAAAATATTTGAAAACACTGTTTTCTCCCTTCTTTTTCATCAAGATACAAGGAAGATTAATTCCTGTCCTGAAGTCTGCTGTACAGCTACAACAAACCATTTCGATTCCCAAGCGCCCACCATGCATGCTGAACAGTCCAGAAGATTTTTGAACAAACAGTTTAGTGTCACTGTCAAACACCATTCTTCTGACATGTAATCTTGCTGTTTTATTAACTGTCCCCTCTCCACATTTTGCTTTAGACAGATGAAAAATGAGGACCTCTCCATTGTAAGACAAGATTTGTTCTTGTTTATCTGACAGCATCTTTTTCTAGTTATTTGACAACATCAAGACTGAATATCTCCACTTTTCATTAGGAGCCTTCTTTCTTTGGAAAAAAAAAAATCAACTCATTCAGGCTTTTTCAATCTGCAAATGTAAACAGAAAAAAAAATTCTGGATTAACAGATTTTTCAGAAGAAATACATAACAAGGAGTACAGATTACAATCATATGGCTTACCCCAATTGTTATAAAGTTAGTGTATAAACTACCTCACAGTTAGAGTTAGGGAACAGAAATCAAAGTAAGCAACTAATTAGCCAAATTTTGATGGTTAATAAACATTTTTTTTGGAAAAAATTAGTATTTTTCAACTTAACAAGACAAATTTGGAAAATGTCATTTACTGGTTAAAAGCATTAGTTTACTGGTTAATAGCAATTTCATAATGTAACTTAAACTCAATGCATTCAGTTATTTAATGTATACACTAACCTTCCCAACAGACTCAAAGTGGCTTACAATAAGAAGACAAACTAGTTTATAAGGCAGGAAAACAAAATAACTTAAAAAGTTAGTAGAGTAAGTATATAAAACATATGCCCTTCCTGAACTATATCCCAGCCTAGCTTTGTTTGCTAAACATGAACCTTGTGCTGAAAGCCACACAAATGTTAATCAGCTTAGTGTTGATCAGCTTAGTGAAGCAGTCACACCATAAGGAGAAAAACCTGCTCTGGCTGTCCTTCACCTGCACGGCTGTGACTTGCCACTAGAAGCTCCCTGCTCCCACTGGGCAGAAAACAGAAAACAAGTCCACCATTGTGTCAGTTGCTTCGAGATCAGAGAGAGCTGGAGAAGCAGATCTCTGGTCTCACTGAAACTTGACCCTTGCTGGCTGGCTGGGCATTTCCTGAGCTCCGAGGGGCCTGAACTTTTTATCTCTGGAGCTCAGGTGGTACTTGGCCAGCTGGCTGGCGGCCTGGCCGGCAGTGGTGCAAGGTGGGACAAGTTCTGGAGGGACCTGATCCTTTTTTCTCTGGAGCCTGCAAAATTAGGTGGATTAGAGATAATCATGCCATGGAGTTGTGTAACTTTAAAGTGAATAAAGTACTTTAAAAGGTGTTAACATGCACCCAATCCAGGAGCTCCACAAGCCTCTTAAAATTACTCTGTAACAAGGCCCTGTGTTCCAAACAGATCTCATAGCACTTCCAAAATATATCTATCCTTGTGCTCTGTTTGGTGTCCAAAGGGAGGCATTTCCAGAGCTAAGGAATGAGTACTGAGTATGACCTGCCAAGTGTGTTTGCCAATCAGACTGGTATACTGATGGTACTTGCAGAACGCTCATCTCAATGAACTTTAGGGATCACAATGAGGTGTAAGGCAGAATGTGATCCCTTTGGTACAAAGGCCTCAGGCTATTTAGGGCTTATAGGTCAAAACCAGCACCTTGAATTGCACCCACAAAGCTACTGGGAGCCAACACAGAGTTTGGAGCAATGGAATTATATGCTCTGGGTGACGCACCTCTGTTAGAAGGCAAGCTCCCACATTTTGCACCAGCTGCAACTTTTCGATAGTCATCAAGGGCGACTTCACATACAGCACACTGCAGTAATTTGAAGGCTAAACTACGAAGGTATGGATGATAGTGGCTATGTCAGAGTCTAAAAGAAAGGGTCACAGCCTCCTCACCACAGAGAATTGGTGAACGGTCCTCCTCCATGGTCATCACCTGAAGATCTAGGTACAGCAGAGGATCCAGAAGCACCCCAAGGCTGTAAACCCAAGTAACAAGAGGAGGCTGCACCCAGTTGATGATCAGTATCTGAGTCCTCCCCACCTCAACTCAATCTGTACACAGTCAACCCAACAACATCATCTCTCACTTGTCAGGTTTTAGTTTTCATTGGATCACCTGCATTCAGTCTCCAGATGCAGCCAGAAACCAGGAAAAGGGCTACGACTGTAGGGCCTGGGGTCAACTGAAAAAGAGGGGTAGGCTGGGTGTCATCACTGTATTGATGATGCCTCATTCCAAATCTCTGCACTATTTTGTCCAGTGGCCCCAGACACATTCAGAACAAGGGGCAAAAGTACAGACGCCTGGGAAACCCCACAGGAAAGGTCCTGAGCGTATGACAAATACTTGCTCCTCACCACCATCTTGTGACCAGCTCCTTGCTAGGAAAGAGCAGAACCAGTTTAGAGCAACCAAAAGGTTGTTTCATACTTAGTTTCATAGTTTCTAGGGTCGGAAGGGACCTAAGCAGATCATCGAGTCCGACCCCCTGCCATGGCAGGAAAGAGTACTGGGGTCAAACGACCTCAGCAAGGTGTTCATCTAGCCTCCTCTTAAAGACTCCCACAGTAGGAGCCAGCACCACTTCTCTTGGAAGTTGGTTCCAGA